AAGGTGGGTGCTGCTGTGAAGCAGCTAAAGAGCTGGAGCTGCCGGGACTCTGTTTGCCCTGGGCAGTAAAAAACCTGCAGGTGAGGAAACCCTGTTTTGGAGTGAGCTTTGGGAAAGCTGCAGGAGAAGTTTTTGGGAGCAGCGGGTGCCGTATTGTTCTGCTTCCCGTGAGGATACACAACGGATGTTACCGAGGTCAGCGTCAACAGTTAAAACGAGGGGTAGTAAAGAGCTGGAGCTGCCGGGACTCTGTTTGCCCTGGGCAGTAAAAAACCTGCAGGTGAGGAAACCCTGTTTTGGAGTGAGCTTTGGGAAAGCTGCAGGAGAAGTTTTTGGGAGCAGCGGGTGCCGTATTGTTCTGCTTCCCGTGAGGATACACAACGGATGTTACCGAGGTCAGCGTCAACAGTTAAAACGAGGGGTAGTGGCATGAAGTCGTGCCAAGGAGAGTCACGCTGGCAGCGAGGCTGGCTGGGCGCTGGGACAATTTTCCAGTGGGGAAGTGATGGAACAGTTATTGGGGAGGGGAATCGAAAGCTGCGTCGGCTGCTGTTAGTGAGTGCTGGGTCACTGGGGAGGTGAGTATTTGTTTGCAGGAACATCAGCGGGCCGCAGTTGGGAGCTGGGCTCCTCGTGTGTTAGATGCTGTTCGGAGAGCGTGACAGGGAGTCACTCTCTGTGCCGCCGCCCTTGGAGCGTCTCCTGTTTCTTGACTTTTTTGGCTCTGTGGGAAGCAGGCAGATTGCTTACTCTGAAATTGGTGCGAGTAGACCAGATTGGACTAATATCAGTCTTTCTCCACCTCTCTCGATAGCAAAATGAGTTCCATGCTGACCCATGCCGTCAGAAACCTCCCTGCTTCCTCAGCATGGGCTGCCAGGGTCTGTAAGTATCTTTACAGCGATCGAAAGCTTGGCTCGGTCAGAAAGTTCTGGTGTAAGCGTTGGGTTTGGAGTGGATGCTTGTGTCTGCATCTCTGTGCTGTTGCCACTTTAAAAAACAATGGTGGTGTTGGCTTTTTAACTAAGTAGTTCCGTTGTTGTCCTGTTTGTCCCTTCCCACATTGGATGTGGGCGGAATCTCCTGTTAATGGGTAACGCGAACTGTGTCGCTTTTATGAACAGAGTCAACTAAAAACCATCTCATGGGTGTTGAGGTGAGGTTGACATTATCTTCTTTGTTTAACGCTCCTCACAGGACCTAGAAATGTTTTAACCCTTCAGGTTGACAAAGCCTATTTTTTTAATTTCTTGTTTTTCAGTTGCTCGATCGCTCGGCTGCTCTTCACAGTTACAAGCCGCAGGTAGGGTGAAAACCCCGGGATTCTCAGTGGGTCTGTGCTATGAAAGACTATTTTTGAAGCTGCCTCCCTTTTCCAGAGTCTCATTCGATGTGACTCTGAGCGTCCCTCGCGAGCCGCAAACACATAAAAGTGCAGGCGAGGTGCTGCTCGCAGCGGAGGCCTCTCAGCCCCCACGTGCCCCTCGCGGCCCTGCCTGGCCCAGAGCTCGCGCCACGTCGTCACCCGATAGATTGCTATTTCTAGAACCTGAAGGGAGAGGCTGAGCTTAGGGTTTGGAGCCCGGGCACGGCCTGATCGCTTGCCCAGAGGGGAGGGGATTGTCCCTGACAAGGAGACACTTGTGGAATTAGCTCTGAAATCCAGCGAGATCGCTGAGAGGCTCCGGTCTCGGTGGAGCTGCTGAGCACGCAGAGTTACGTGGGACTTTAGCTGTGGCCCTTGCTGAGCGGTCAGGACATTCTGGGATTTGTTAGAGGGGGTGCTCAGGTGGCTGTAATGCGTTGAACTGCCTGGATTTTGGAAACTGGTCTAGACAGCAGCTCGCCCTCCTTGGCTTTATGCATAGCTCCTTATATAACCCCAGAACACTGTTGGGGTTTCGTCCTGCAGCTTGCTTGAGCGCAGTGTTTAGCTGGGCTTAATCTGCTTTTACGAGCCTTTGTCCTTTTCTGGCTCGTAACAGAGCTGCCCCGTGTTGCTGTAAATGCTCGTTAAAGATTTGCAGCCTGACTGCGTTAGACAATTCGCATCGTTGCCGAAGAGCTCTGACAGTGGCATCTTACTGTGTCATGATGTGCTTTGCCTTGAGCCCGAGATGCTCCGAGACCTTACGCAGAAGTAGCAAGTTACCCACAGCAGCTCTGCGCCCTCTTCTCGCTGCTGCTCGGCTATGGGGGTGCGAGTCGGGGGACTCCTCGAGCTGCGTTTTGATTCACCTTGAATTAGCTCAGCTTGGAGCACGTTAGCTCGCCTGAGAGCACATGTGTAGGCAGTCACTGTGAAGGTGGGTTGCTGTTTGCACTCCTCACTGCTCCCCAAGTGAGAGACCATACGAGATCCTACTCGGGCTTTGAATTTGAGCTGCCTCATTCCTATTCCAGGCGGTGCAGCAGTTTCAGACGTGCCTCTTCCTGCAGCCCTCTTGTCAGTGCTAACGGAGACTGGGACCTACCTGCCTTCATTCCCAGCCGTGCCGTTCCCTCAGTGGAGCTGTAGATGAATCTCTGCTGATGGAGGAAGTGCGGAGTTGTTCAGCCATTTTTCACAAATCACATGATTAACCAAAGACATGATTAGAGCCTGGGTGTCCCACCTACTCTGCTCTTCACTCGGGCACCAAAAGAGAACAATTGCCCTAGTTTTCTGGTAATTTAAGTAGAATCTGACTTGAAGCTTGCTGGTGTTGTTGGTAATGGTCACTTCTCTCTTAGCAGTCCAGCCTAAGAGCAAGAAGACCTTAACCAAAAGCGGTGTGAAGAACATCGTCGTGGTAGAGGGCGTCCGTATTCCATTTTTGCAGTCTGGCACCACGTAAGTCTGAAATAACGAGGAAAGACGTGCTGGCTCGGTTAATAGGAGACTCTTTCTCTGAAAAACACTTGGCTTACTCCCTTGTTTCCACGTAGTTACGCCGCTGCCTAGAAGTACTGGCGTGGCAGTGAGTTAGGCTGCTGCGGTTGTTCCATCTGACAGAAACTTGTGGTTTGAAGATCACCCCCGCGGGTGAATTCTGAGGAGAGTGAGGGTTTGTGCTGCACGCAACGAGCTGTTGGAGAATCTGTGGCAGATAAAGCAAAGAGTCACACAGCACTAGCAGGGTGGGTGCGGAGAATCTGCAGGAGGCTCCTGCTGGCACTGCATTCCCAGCTGAGTTAGAATCAGACCCAACCCTTAGGTGGGGTAGGGGATTTCTTTATTCTGTTACTGCTGCTTTGCAGTGGTTTTAGTACAGCGGCTGTATGCTGACCCCTACACACACAGTCTCCACAACCCAGGGAGTTACGTGTGTGGCTGTAAACGCAGTGGGGCGTTTCAGGTCACCGCTGCTTTGGTGCTGACGTCTGCCTACAGCGGTGAAGCAGACACCTCTCTTGGTTTCTGATGCTCTTAAGTGTCTGTCTCTCCTCTTCAACTTCCAGGTACGCGGATCTTATGCCACATGACTTAGCAAGAGCAGCGCTGCAGTAAGTACATTGAATACTAGAAGGACTCAGAAAGCTCGCTGAACTGCTGGGGTCCTGATGTTGGCTTTGACGGATCGGAGAGCCGAGGCGCTGGCTTTGTCTCTCAGTGATACCATCCATGTGCTTTGTTGTTCAAGCAGTCAGGCCTACAACAGGCTTGTGCTGCAGCCTGTTGTTACATGGCGGTGGCGTTGCTGTCCTGATGGCAAATTGTAGTTAACTGGAATTCTGAGTGGAGTTTTTTAAATACAGAAGTCATAGCTACTGTTGTGGTGGGCTTACAATTCATGGGAGAAACAACCTGGGCCGTGCGGGGGGAACTTAAGTGGCAACAAGAATAACAAGTTAATTGTGTCATCTGTCCTGTCCCTTCCATTCTGCAGCTACATGACAAAAGCTCCAGGTCATTAGCAGAGGGTTTGTTTTGTTGAGAAAGGTGCTGTTGCAAAGTGCTGTTGGAAGGGGAGAAGGCTTTACCGGGGGGAAAGGAGATGTCAGGGCCCAAGGAAAGATCCTGAGGTTGGGTGTGGTTGTAGAATCCCAGCATGGTTTGGGTGGGAAAGGACCTTAAAGCCCACCCAGTGCCACCCCCTGCCATGGGCAGGGACACCTTGCACTAGACCAGGTTGTTCCAAGCCTCATCCAGCCTGGCCTTGAAGACATCCAGGGATGGGGCATCCACAGCTTCTCTGGGCAACCTGTCCCAGTGCTCCCCACCCTCTCCAGGAAGAATTCCTTCCTGATGTCCCATCTCCATCTCCCTCTTTCCGTTTAAACCCGTCACCCCTTGTCCTGTCACTCCCTGCCCTTGGAAAAGCTCCCCCAGCTTTCATATGCTCTCTAATGAGCTGTGAAAACACAATGCTTATTTTCTGTGTCTCTTTAGTGAGGTTTTACATGTTCCTACACCCAAGGTGGTTGGATTTGTTATCTCTTAAGTCACTCTTCCTTTAATTTCGATGTCAGAATACTCCAAACTGGGGAAGATGCTAACAACCGTTTCGAAGGGGTGTGGTGTGGAGTAGTTGCGTTCATTTCGAGCGATGTTGCCGTGATTATCCGCAGTCCGTAGGCAATTAACACTCCTCATGAAGCCCATCCGCTCACCAGATCTCTCGGAGCCAGGGGCGAAATGCAGCTCCAGCGTTGCCTTCTCTCTCGGGAAGGGAATATTTGAGGTCTGTGCCCTGCTTTTGCTTACCTGGTGCAAATCCTCTTGGTTTTGATGTTCTCCCTAGGGGGTTGTTGAACCGGACCAGTGTCCCAAGGGATGTTGTCGATTACATTGTGTATGGCACGGTTATCCAGGAGGTGAAAACCAGTAACGTCGCCAGGGAGGTGAGTTACCTGCGGCGTTTCCCTGGCAGGCTGATTCCTGCACCTCGCGCGCGGATGACAAACACTTGCAAAGGAAAACAGTATGTTTCAAAGGACCATAATACAGGAAATAGATGATTTGGGAGTATGAACTAGTTGTGCGGTGTTGTCTGTTAAATAACTGCCCGGGACTCTGCCTCCTGTTGAAACCTGCCACGGGTCAAGGCCGTGTTAGTGCTGCAGAGCTCGATTCTTCCCTGGCAGGGAATCCTCTGTTACCGACCGCTGATCGCTCGGCTCTTACCCGAGCTGGACTGCAGTGCTGGCTTCTCTGAAGTGCTGAGGAGGACTTCAGACACACAGAGGATGCTGGATAGATTGTTTTCTTGCGGTATTTACTTAGTTGGCTGTTCCGGTGCAGCTTTTCAAATGGAGTGACTGAGCCGCCCTTTTTTCTGGCGGTCAGAAAGCGTGGTTTGTGCACGCCGGGAGAAGCTGATCTGCTGAGGTAACGTTACAGGGGTGGCACGTGATTTTCTGTAACCCGGTGCCTCCACTGCCGTTCTCTGCAAAGGGGGGCAAAGCTGTGAGGTAACCTGGGCTGGAAAGACTTCGGAGGTGACGAGGCTGCCCCCTTCCATCGGCATTTTTAGCTCCGTGTATGCAAATACTTGCTTTGGTCACCTGCCAGTCAGATGGGGCTGCGGTGTAATTTTAACTTGGGAACAACTGTTGAACTTTAAACTACTTGGCCACGTCGCAAGTAGTAGGGGAGGCTCTTGGCTGGGTCAAGTGAGACGCCGCGTTCTGGAGCTGCGGGAAGCGTTTCCTGCTCTGTCAAGTCACGGTGCCTTGTACTGAGGGGTCTGAATAATTCCTTTCACGTGCTGCCTTTGCAGTTAAGGTGAAGCAAAGATGATGTCAAACAGCTGGAATCTCTCTTGAAACTGAGGTTTGCGATGAGTTTGTCCCTCTTTTAATCCGGGGCCAGTGTCTGGCTGGCAGCTGCCTGTTCCTCCTGTTCCCATTGTCCAGGGAGGGGATTTGCTGCTGCAGGAATTGCCTGGATACAAACTCGCTGTACTTGTTCTCAGCTTAGGCTGCAGAAGCCCTGACTCTGGAGCAGAAAATGAGGTTTTAACAGTCTTTCTGTCTCGCAGGCTGCCTTGGGAGCGGGTTTCTCTGACAAAACTCCAGCCCATACAGTCACCATGGCTTGCATTTCTTCAAACCAGGCGATGACCACAGGTAGGTTTGCCTGGAAAGACAAGTTGTGGGTTTCAGACTGAGCTTAGCAACTCCTCCACGTCCCTCGTCTAACTTGGAGTGCTTAGGGAATATAAGTAAGCAGCGGAAGGCATCCTGGAGGGGAAGGAAGGATTTTGAACGTCCGTTGTGGTACGGACGGAGTGTCTGCTGCAGACCAGCAGCAGCTTGACACCCTTCACATTCAGAGATAATCTTTGCTCAGTGGCTCTGTTAGGTTGGGAGGTAAAGACTACACCTTGGTAAGGATGTCGCTGCCTTTCAGGCTACTTTTGTCTTTGACTTAGCCTAAACAGAGCAAAAAAACCAAATTTGAGACATAGTTCCTGGCCGGCATCAGGGACAGTGTGGCCAGCAGGACCAGGGCAGGGATCGTCCCCCTGTGCTGGGCACTGGGGAGGCGGCACCTCGAATCCCGGGGTCAGTTTGGGCCCCTCACGGCAAGAAAGACCCTGAGGGGCTGGAGCGTGTGCGGAGAAGGGAACGGAGCTGGGGAAGGGGCTGGAGCACAATTCCTGTGAGGAGCGGCTGAGGGAGCTGGGGGGTTCAGCCTGGAGAAGAGGAGGCTCAGGGAGACCTTATCGCTCCCTACAGCTCCCTGAAAGGGGGGTGCAGAGAGGGGGGTCGGTCTCTTCTCCCAAGGGACAAGGGATGGGACAAGAGGAAACGGCCTCAGGTTGTGCCAGGGGAGGTTTAGGTTGGATATTGAGGAAATCCCTTCCCAGAAAGGGCTGTCAGGGTTGGAAGGGGCTGCCCAGGGAGGGGGGAGTCCCCATCCCGGGAGGGGTTTCAGAGCCGTGTGGATGTGGGGCTCAGGGACATGGTCAGTGGGGGCTGGGCAGTGCTGGGGTAACGGCTGGACTGGGTGGGCTGAGAGGGCTTTTCCAACCCAAACGATTCCATGATTCTGTACTGTTCTGAATCGCTGGGATATTCATCTCCAACTGCTTTGTGGGGCAAAGAGAAGTGGAAGCAAAGTTACGAAACTGCCATGATTCAGAGGATGTCAGTTCAACCTGCTCAGCCCCTCTTAAGCTTGTGCTGCGTGACTTGGCCAAAGCCAGGGGCGGGAGAGGGAAATGGTGTCGCAGTATCCGAGGCACCGACGGGGTGAGTGTCGCTCCTCCCGGCAGCTCTCACAGGAAGCTCCCTCTCGTTCCGCAGGCGTGGGGATGATCGCGGCGGGGCAGTGCGACGTCGTCGTAGCGGGGGGCGTGGAGTTGATGTCAGACGTCCCCATTCGACACAGTCGGAAGATGAGGAAGACTATGCTGACTCTTAACCGAGCCAAGACCTTGGGCCAAAAGCTCTCCCTGATTTCCAAAATTCGCCCTGACTACTTTGCTCCTGAGGTAATGTTTTTTTTTTTCTAGGCATTTCGATTTTTAAGCTGGAACAGTTTTACAAGGAGGTGTAAAACAAGCTGCCTGAGGGAATCTTTGTAGCCTTGATGCAGAGGATTCAAAAAGGGAGCACTGCCTGCCTGTGGCTCGCTTCTATTGCATCCCCATCCTGTGCTTCCGGTTCAAACTGCGGTTGGCTAACGCATCTCGTAGCATTCCTGACTCGGCTTTGTCTTACACGTTGGTCTCCTGCACAGCTAACTTCCTTCAAAACCTCCTTCTGCAACTCCCAGACAAACTGGGCTGGAAACTACAACACAGAAGCTTTCTTTCCGGCGATAGAAAACTTACACAAAGGTCCTCCAGGGTCAGAAGAATTTTTGTTTCTTAAATAATTGGAGTGACATCCTTAATATCAGAGGATCATCCTCGGTATATGAATCTAATTGCAGTTTGATTAATGCATCTTAAACACACCTTATGATTCCTCTTCCCTCTTTGCCCAACTCTTCGTGCGGCCGCGCCGCTGCCGGCTGCCTTTATAGAATCATAGAATGGTTAGAGTTGGAAGGGACCTTAAACATCATCTAGTTCCACCCCCCCTGCCATGGGCAGGGACACCTTCCACTAGACCAGGTTGCTCCAAGCCTCATCCAGCCTGGCCTTGGACACTCCCAGGGATGGGGCATCCACAGCTTCTCTGGGCAACCTGTCCCAGTGCCTCACTACCCTCTCTGTGAAGAATTTCTTCCTGATATCTAATCTAAACCTCCCTGATTTCAATTTATACCCATTACCCCTTGTCCTATCACTACAGGCTCTTGTAAAAAGTCCTCTCCCAGTACCCTTGTAGCCCCTTCAGATACTGGAAAGCTGCAATGAGGTCTCCTCGGAGCCTCCTCTTCTCCAGGCTGAACAAGCCCAGTTCTCGCAGCCTTTCATCACAGCAGAGGGGCTCCAGCCCTCTGATCATCTTCGTGGCCTCCTCTGGACTCGCTCCAAGTGGTCAATATCCTTCTGATATTGAGGGCTCCACAGCTGGACGCAGCACTCCAGGTGGGGTCTCACCAGAGCAGAGTAGAGGGGAAAAGATCCTTCCGCAGGAGGATCGAGCGCGGGACAGCGCGATGTACGTACAGCGCAGACGAGGTCAGAGTCCAGATAAGATGAAAATTGCAGCCTTTAATGCCCGCAGGGATTTCCTGTGTGCTGCCAGAGGAATAAAAGCAAAGCTGAACTCACTTGCCCTCGCTGGTTTTGCTCGAGGAGTTATTTGCAGGGAGTTTTAAGGTCCCAGGGTGTGTTTCACCTCGGCCCAAAAGGTCCCGTCGCCATTCACATGGGAGTCCGTGTTAAATGGACCAGGCAGCTGCTGTTCACACGTGCAGATCCAGTGCAGTTCTTCAACCCCTGGAGTAAGCAGCGGTCTTGACCTCTTTTTTTTTAATCCTTTCTTTTCTAAAAGTCTTGGAAAAGGATGGTTCTTCCAAGGCTGAGCCGCTTGTGGTTCTTGAGCTCCGCTGCGAACTGCACTGCTTCACCCACCTGAGGGTCTCGCTGGCCGCCTGCGCGGGGCTTAATCAGCTTCTGAATTCCATGGAACTGCCCAGGGATGGTGTTTCACGTGGGCTGCCTTTCTTTTCCCTTTTCACAGCTCCCAGCCGTGGCAGAGTTCTCCACCAGCGAGACCATGGGACACTCTGCCGATCGTTTGGCTGCTGCCTTTGCCGTTTCCCGTTTGGAGCAAGACGAGTACGCCCTCCGTTCGCACACGCTAGCCAAGAAAGCCCAGGATGGAGGCTTGCTCCTCGATGTGGTGCCCTTCAAAGTGCCAGGTGGGAGTGCACGTGCGTTCGTTGTTGGCATGCACGAGGTCAGGAAAGAAATACTTACTTAGGAACGGAGGGGAAATACTGGGGTTGGAGTCAGTGTTCGGTGTATCTGATAGGATTTGAACTCTGAAATGCTCTGTTTCTCCCTGGAAAAGTGATGAGATAGGAGCGTGTTTCTAAACGTGGGTATCTAAATAGATAAACTGCTGCCTCCAGCTCTGGGCCCCCAACAGCAGAAGGACACGGAGCGGTTGGAGCGAGTCCAGAGGAGGCCCCGGAGATGCTCCGAGGGCTGGAGCCCCTCTGCCCTGGGGACAGGCTGGGGGAGTTGGGGGGTTCAGCCTGGAGAAGGGAAGCTCCGGGGAGACCTTAGAGCCCCTTCCAGTGCCTGGGGGGCTACAAGGAAGCTGGGGGGGACTTTTCCCAAGGGCAGGGAGTGACGGGACAAGGGGTAACGGGGTTAAACGGAAAGAGGGAGACTGAGATGGGACATCAGGAAGGAATTCTTCCCGCAGAGGGTGGGAGCACTGGGACAGGTTGCCCAGAGAAGCTGTGGATGCCCTATCCCTGGGAGTGTCCAAGGCCAGGCTGGATGAGGTTTGGAGCAACCTGGGCTATGGAAGGTGTCCCTGCCCATGGCAGGGGGTTTGGAACTCGATGGGCTTTAAGGTCCCTTCCCACCCAAACCGTTCTTCTGTGATACTGATGCCACAAATGGAGTTTCCTTTTTTTCCTCCTCCTGCTTGTCATAAAAAGCACATTTTTCTGATCATTTTTCCCCCCTCTGGACTTCTGCTGTACAAATTTAAATACTTTGCTGGCTGACTTAGTGTAAATGTTCTTTTTTCATTAACAGGCAAAGAGACAGTTACCAAAGATAACGGGATCCGTCCTTCCTCGATGGAGCAGATGGGCAAGCTGAAGGCGGCGTTCGTCAAGCCGTACGGAACTGTCACAGCTGCCAACTCCTCCTTCCTGGTAATGCGCGCTCCCATCGCTCCGTGAGCCAGAGGGGAAGGCTCTGCTTTCCCGCTTCCCGCTCTGCCTCCCGTAGATGGAGCTGCTGTAATCCCTGGGCATGAGTGGTCTCCTCTGTGACTCCTCCTGCGTTCTGACTCAGGGAGGGGAACTGTCCGGGAGGCGTTTCAGAGCCGTGTGGATGTGGGGCTCAGGGACATGGTCAGTGGGGGCTGGGCAGTGCTGGGGTAACGGCTGGACTGGGTGGGCTGAGGGGGCTTTTGTGGTTCTGTGCTCTCATGAGGGTGAGCGCCTCTGCTGTCAGCTGGCCCAACTTTCTGCTCTCGCACCTCGCAAGCCTCGAGGGCCAGGGGCGCTTGCTCCAAGCCTCATCCAGCCTGGCCTTGGACACTTCCAGGGATGGGGCATCCACAGCTTCTCTGGGCAACCTGTCCCAGTGCCTCCCCACCCTCTGCGGGAAGAATTTCCTCCTGATACCTAATCTAATAGAATCGGTTTAATTCTAAACCAGGACTAAACTCCTGAAGTTTTGGTCCGTGTGACCTGTTCACTCTTCAGGAGGCGGCTACGGGGGGTTGGTCACTCAGAGGCACGTGTCAAAGTTCTGTCCTGGATGTGGTTGATCAAATTCTCAGTCTAGAAATTCACAGTTTGAGTCTAACCTGGTCCCTTTCACACTTACCCTGTGATCCATGCGGGGAAGGAGAGGCTTCTCTGGGGCATCTACGATGAGCTCTCTGCTGCGCGTGCTCCTTTTCCTCCCTCCTCAGTGCTTCCAGAGCAAGTGTCAGATGCTCAGGTGTAAGGCAGTCGTGTCAGTCCAGTGAGGGGTGTTCGAGCCCCGGTTCCTGAGGCTCAGCACCGCCTGGAGCCCCCGCAGAGGACTCGAGGGGACGGTCTCAATCCCGCACACTGCCCTGGCAGGTTCTTGTGGGGTTTTAAAAGGCTGTTGCGCTGCTGTGGCTCTCTGGGCGGCAGTGGTATTTACTCCTTAGCGTTCCTGGGGAATTACAAGCCCAGGAATGGAGGGGTGTTCGAGCCCCGGTTCCTGAGGCTCAGCACCGCCTGGAGCCCCCGCAGAGGACTCGAGGGGACGGTCTCAATCCCGCACACTGCCCTGGCAGGTTCTTGTGGGGTTTTAAAAGGCTGTTGCGCTGCTGTGGCTCTCTGGGCGGCAGTGGTATTTACTCCTTAGCGTTCCTGGGGAATTACAAGCCCAGGAATGGAATGGCTCTGTGCCGTGGGTCTCTAGGCCAGCTCAGGCTGTTAGCCCAGAAATGAGTGGTCACGTGCCAAAGCCACGATGTTCGTTTTCGCAATGCGGTGAGCCTTGTGTCATCCCAGAATTATTTTTTGGGATGGAGCTGAGTGGAGGGTGAGTGCTTGGGGTAACCAGCTCGTCCTCAGGCCTGGCAGGGCTTCTGGGTGCCTCTGTCCTGTTTGAAACTGGAAGGTTGTGGCTCTGGACCATGAGGAGGCGCTTCAGCAGCGCGTCTGCTCACACTGTTCGGAGATTGTCCGTCCATCAGCTCAGTCAACAGACTGTTCTTTGTGCTGGAGCGTGTGCGGAGAAGGGAACGGAGCTGGGGAAGGGGCTGGAGCACAATTCCTGTGAGGAGCGGCTGAGGGAGCTGGAGGGTTCAGCCTGGAGAAGAGGAGGCTCAGGGAGACCTTATCGCTCCCTACAGCTCCCTGAAAGGGGGGTGCAGAGAGGGGGGTCGGTCTCTTCTCCCAAGG